CCAAGTTTTCCATCTTTTTTTTTTTTTTTTTTTTTTTTGAGAGGTTTTCACTATAAGGGCGTGTGCGCTCGCCAGACAGACAGAGACAGAGAGACAAAAAGCAAGAAATCACCCCCCAGGGGGGGATGGTCACGCCGCAATCCCTTCTCCATTCTCCTCTCGAGATCTCGAGATCTTGGGCACGCACGCACACGCTCCCGGCGTGAGTTCTAAGCCACCGGGTCCGGGACGCGAACTGCGGTCGACTACTTGGGAGTCCAGCGACATAGCCATTACGCTAACTGCTGGTTCCCATTCCTCCATCTTTTTTGCTAATCAGTTCTTAGGTGATGAGTTCTGGATGTAATGGAGAGGGCGGTTTGATGTACCACGTTGCCCAGACCTGGGTCCCCTAAGCCCTTCTGCATGCGGCCACATCATGGACATGTGCTTGTGACCGGGAGAGAGTATAAAGCCGTGTGGTTACAGAAAGCTTGCAGTTCTTGCTTAGAAAGTGAGAAAATGTCTTTGGTTAAAAAAAGAAAACAATTCATGCTGATACCACTTATACAAATGAGTGTTACTACACTGAGGACGTGGTTGGAGGGCCGCGGGGTCACTTTGCCACAGCGATGTCACGGTGGTGTCCACAGCCTTTGGTGCTGCTCTGCCGGGCAGAGGAGCACGCCTTTTGGTCAGAATTTTACCTGTTTTCTGCGGAGGTTCTGAGTAAGATTTCATCTCGAGAGTGGAAAAGAGCATCCTGTTTAAGGATTGGAGATACATTAACAGAATTATTTTTGACCTGGTGAATAATGCCTTTCACTCACTCTGTTGTGTCCACTGAGGCTCGGCCCAAGGCCAAGCTCTGTCAGTCGTGAGGAACACGATGTGAAAACATCCAAATCCTGTGGAATTGATCAGTCCGGTGAGAAACAGCTGGAAACATAAACAGTCACTCTCCAAGGCTTCTAATGGAGACACATGCAAAGACCTCTGAGAATTTGAAGAGAGCTCACTGGTAGGAGGCTTGTGTTGTCAGGGTCAGGCATTTGTAGGCAGTAGTTCGGTCCTGCAGAATCCCTTGGTGCTGTTACTTAAAGGGAAAGTTTCGATTTAGCAGTGGAATGATTTTTACTCACTTTAAATTTTAGTTTCTGGAACTTTCAGCATTTGTAGAGGTTGTTGGTGGGTTTTTTTTTTTTTTGGTCTTCTAATCTGTCTCGTGTCTCCCTTTACACAGTTTAGAAAGTATTAAGTTAACTACTGCTATTGCCTTTAAAATGAACTGCTAGACAAAAGCTAAATGTAATCACTGTCTTTCCCAAACGAGAAGTGTCTGAAAGCGCTGGGAAATGGGACGTTTCAGTAAAAAGGACTGCCTCGGTAGGGCATTTCCCTAACGTTGTTGACTCGCTCCAAGTACTGAGAGCTCTCTCGGTGCAGGTGTACCACACCTTCCACGACGAGGTGGACGAGTACCGGCGGCACTGGTGGCGCTGCAGCGGGCCGTGCAAGCACAAGCCACCGTATTACGGCTACGTCAAGCGCGCCACCAACAGGGCGCCCTCTGCTAACGACTACTGGTGGGCCGAGCACCAGAGGGCCTGTGGGGGCACCTACGTGAAAATCAAGGAGCCGGAGAACTACTCGAAGAAAGGCAAAGGAAAGACAAAACTAGAAAAGCACCCATTATCAGCGGTGGAGAATAAAGGTACGTGTATGGACGCTCCTTCAACTTTTCTATGACCGTAGCTCCAGTGTGAAGACAGTACTGTCCTGGGACCAGCAGATGGCATGGTGGGTAAGGCGCTGGCCTCACACATGGCCAGCCACAGTTTGAGTCCCAGACCTGGTGGCTCGCTTTCTCACTTTTCCTCTCTCTGTCTCTCTCTGGTGAGCACATGCACTCTAGCAAATTTAAAAAGTAATAATAAATTAAATAGTTCTTTTTTTAAAAATGACCTTAAGGCTTTTTTGTTGGGGTCAGAGGGTGTCACATGCCAGAGACGGGATGAGGGGAGAAGCTCCCCTGTGGGGTGTGGTTACACCGTAATCCTTTCTTCTCCATGTCTCCATCCTGTCAGGATTTTAGGCACACAGGCACATATACCTGGCCTGACTGTCAAGCCACGTGATCTGGGGTGTGAACTGTGTGGTTGGTTATGTGGAATCTGGCTCCCTTAACTACTATGCCATGTGACCAGCCCAGGGACTATTTTTGGTATGGAAGTTTTCTTAAGAAAAATCCCTGAGGGGCCAGCAGGTGACATGGTGATTGGGGCACTGGGCTTCTACATGGCCGACTACAGTTTGAGTTCCAGACCTGGCGGCTTGCTTTCTCACTTTCCTCCTCTGTTTCTGTCTCTGTTGTCAAATTAATAATAATTAAGTAAATACAGCCAAATAATTCTAAAAATAAAAGGGCCAGCATGGTGGTTAGGGTGCTGGACTTCCACATAACCAACCACAGTTTGGCCAACTGCAGACCTGGTAGCTTGCCTTGGTTAAAAATGTCTTCAGTTAAAAAAAAGAAAACAATTCCTACAGATACCACTTAAACGAATGAGTGTTACTACACTGAGTGTTACTACTACTCCCTCTCTGTGTCTGTCTCTGTCTCTGGTCAAATTAAAGAATAATAATAAGTAGAATTAAATAAATTCTTTTAAAGAAAAAAAAACCCTAATGTTGATGAAACGATACTTTGTTCTGTATGCAGTGAGTAGAGTTTGCACTGCACTTGCATATTCTCCACGGGGTTTAAGACCGTCTCTGATCACCCATCTTTTAATTATGCCATCTCTACCCTTAAGTCTGTTTGAGGTAATGACAAAATCAAATCATGGTTTTGAAGTCTTCAAGGTCATCATTGGAGTATGCTCAGGCAGGTCAGCAGACTAGCCTGTTAGCCAAATTGGACCTGCTGTCTGTTTCCCTATGGCCACAGCTGAGATCAGTTTTCATATTTTAAATGGCTGGTGAAAAAATGAAAAGAAGTGTAATATCGGGAACCAGCAGTTAGCATAATGGCTATGTTGCTGGCCACGTAGTCGACGGCGGTTCGCGTCCTGGACCCAGTAGCTTAAAACTCACGCCGGGCGCATGTGCGTGCGTGCCCAAGATCCCGAGAGGAGAATGGAGGAGGAGGGATTGCGGCGTGACCATCCCCCCTGGGGGGTGATTTCTCGCTTTCTGTCCCTATGTCTCTCTCTGTCTGGCGAGCGCACGCACCCTGTAGCAAAAACCTCTCCAA